ATAATCACTAGCAAATTCAAGCCCAGGCTAATTTCCATCTACTGTTGAAATTACTACTCTGGAAAGAAAAAAAAAATCTTGCTGAACAATAGGGACATCTGCTGGTTAAAATGAAATGCTTTTACCCTTAAAACACTGCATCTATAAAGACAGTAAAAGATTTGGTTACGAAGGTTTCGAGTAACACTTAAGTATTTTACTATTACTCAAGCCAGACTTGAGTAATAATAAAAGGTAATATTTGATTGCCCAGTGTTCACTGTATTTCTAGAATTTCCCAAGTAGTGATACTTGTAGTCAGTGACTATTGCCAAAGCATAGAAATGGCTATCTCCCTGATCTTCTGGCTTAAGACACTTAATTATCTTCGATATCAACAAACACTTAAGTGTCTACAAAGTCAAGGTACTGTGCCACATGCTGGCAAACTAAAGCTTTAAGACATGACAGAGGTAGCAGATTGTAGATCTCTGCTCTCTCTGGAAGCATGCTTAGCAGTAGCAGAGTTAACCTTAGTTAACATCTGCCAGGGACTGAAGCTATCTCTTGCCGGTGCTGTGGTGTCACCATATTATAAACATACAGGCCAGGTGCTTTCTACATTCTTTCCAGCCCTAGTTAGATAAATGTCTTCTCACACACTACTATGGTGATTTCTTGCTACCCTTCCAGTCTCTGCTTACATGGCTTCTCAGAAAGGCCTACTCTGAACTCCTCATGTAAAGTTTACTTTCAGAGCACTCAATTTGTATCCTTCTTAGAATTTTATAAAAATTGTTAATTATTGATTGATTTACCAATGTATTTTTCCTTTCCTTTCCACATTAGACTATCAGCTTTAGAAGCAAAAAACATGCTTTTGAGTCTGGGTGCAGGCATCCTCCCAATTTTAGTAAAGTAACAACTATTTTGATTTGTACTCCAAAACTTCAAGGGTGGAAAGGAGGCTTTTATCCTCATTCCTGGGAGTATATGAAGACTTAGCCACCCGTTCCCCTAACTGGAAACGGGAACCAATTTTTGCTAATATTCCATTAAAAAGCTGCAATAAAGGTCTATTGCAAAAGAGTAAGAAGTGAAGGGGGTTAAGGAGAGGTGGTGATCAGGGATTAATTGAAAGACTATAAGGAGTGTGGAGATGAGACAATGAGAGAAGATGGAGGGCAGGAAAAAGATTACAACATGGAGTGCCATAAACTTCAGAGGAAAGCCTAGAGAAATCTGAGATAGAAGAGGGCCTAAAAGGGCCTGGTGTGTAAGTCTAACTGGGGGTAGTTTATTCATTCTTTTAGCATAGGAACCTTATCAGCTCTATTAACAGGCCTCAGAGACTGTGTAGAAAGACAAACTACTCAGTGATTGTGTTTTTCCTTTCAACAAAAGTCCTTGCAAACATATCCCTTTTTTTCTTAATCACAGGGAGAGAACAATGCATTAGTATCCAGAACACAATATAATCATGAAATAACAAAACCTGCTTCTTGCTATTTGAAACACTTATATTAACATTTCAACCTTTCATAAAAGGATGATATCATCAATATTCAATTATTGATGAGGTACACGAAAGTGTCATAAAAGATCTGGAAACCAAAAGAGTTAATAACTAGATCAATGCAGCAAATACCATAACAGTGGCAAAATAATTTTATAATACAATAATTTTCTATTTAGTATAGAAATATTTCTCATGACTTTTCTGCAAAATATTTAATTCCTAGTTAAAGAAATCCTGGGATAATATTTTTAAAATCACACAATCCATATGTATACATTGACTAAGTAGTGAAGTAGGGATAACCTAGAAGCATAATTGCAGAAAGCTACTCTAGATTCAAAACGTGTTATGAATAATCTGTACGTTCATTATTTCAGTTAAAGGTGTAGAGGTGTTATAACAGATTTACTTTTTAAAATTATGTATTAAGCTAATAATAAAATATATTTTTCTTCTCCAAGTGAATACCAACTGACCTTGGGAAAATGTAGTTAGGAAAGAAACTGACCCAGAAAGGGAGAATTTAATAATAAGGATGCACTTAACCTCTTCAGACTTAACTGCAGAGTGTCGGTTAACCTAAAATTTTGCAGGAGAAAATGGGTGGCCAGACTATAATTTAGATGACATCATCTTATGACTTACTGAAAAGAATCCTATATGGTTATGCTTTATGAAAAATGTGGCTAATTAGGAACCACTTCTTAGTAAATGTTAATGTTTGATCAACAATTTTGCATATATAATTTTATTTCATTGGAACAAGAAGTTTAATTGCTTTCCTGGTTCAAGGATTTATTAGTTTCCATTTTTAAGTGCTTACTACATATGGAAGGCTCTGTGCAAAGTATTTTGCCTACATTTTTCTGGGAGGTAGATTTTATTATCTGCATTTTTCAGATGAGGTAAATGCAACTGAAAAAGGTTAAATACTACCCAAGATTACTCCAATATTAAGCAATAAACACTCAGGTCTGACTCCAACATCTATACCACAATACTATCCTGATTCCTACATAAACATGACTTATATACTCCTTTAAAAAAAAAAAGGAATGTTTTATGTCATAAACCCCAATAGGATGCAGACCTTCCACAAATTGGTAACAAAGTTAGACATAATAAAGTGCTGCTTCTGGCATTTGGAGCCCTGGTGGCACAGTGGTTAAAAGCTTGGCTGTGAACGAGAAGGCTGGCAGTTCAAATCCACTAGCTGCTTCTTGGAAACCCTATGGGACAGTTCTGTGGGATAAGACGGGTCATTATGAGTCAGAATCAGCTTGATGGTAATGGGTTTTGGTGTGGCATTTACCTTTGAAATTTGGTCAAACATGTCCATCTTCCAGGTAAGTACAGAATCTGGAAACTTGTTGTAATCACTTGTTTTCCTTATAGGACTACTGTTGCCAAAGTTTTTGTGATTACACCAGGGTAGTTCAGAGCATAGGCTCTGGAGCCAAGGCTTCAATCCTGGCTCTACCACTTACTAGCTGGGTGCCCTTTGACATATTACTTCTTTGTGGTTCATGTGTACAACGGGATTCATCTGTAATAACTATACTGGTCCATTTGATGATTAAATAAATTTAATGTATATAAACCATTTAGCTGGCACATAGTAAGCACTCAAAAAAATGTTGGCTCACATTGTCCAATCAAAAAGCTTTTCACATTTTCCTTTTAATTTTTGTGATCCACAACATATGTGAGAAAATTACCCCCAAAGAAAAACATGGTAATGTGGACTACTAGTAAAGTCCATGCACATTCTTAAAATCTAAACAAATATTTATTTTTCTAAACCCATTTCCATATGTAGTTTGCTTATTTTTTCCCCAATGTTTCTTCGATGAATTGAGGTCACTTCCACTTAATCTTCCAACTACAGTCTATATTCAAAGGAAACCTAAACTGCTGAAAAAGAAACCGCTAATAGCGACGCATTAGTGACTTAAGACCAACTTCAGATACACATATTCTTGATAACCCTAATTTCATTTTTACAACTGATGATTAATCCCCACGGGAAAATGCAAGTTCAGACATAGCCGTTGGATGAAAAAATTTTAGTCAAGTCTAACTTTTAAAACTCCTATTGCCCCAGTACAGAAAGGAAAGCAAAGTATAATAAATTTCGCTTTGTAAACAAGTAAAACGAAGTTGGAATCATCAAATGAGTTGTAATAGGGTTCAGACCACTCAATATCTTGATTTACAAGGCCTTGGAACTTTTAAAATTAAAAACAAATAAAACCCCTGCTGGGATCTCACAAAGATTAGTTTTAAAGATTGCTTTGGGGGCAGGGCCAGAGCCGTTTCTAAAAGCTCCCAGGTAATTGAGCAGTCACTGCAGATCACCAGTGCGGACTGCCTAACAGAGTAGCATCCTGCTAGAATAATAGCCAGATCACTAAGAGAGGACAAATTCCATCAAGAATTGCATTACATGCCCAAATACGTTGCACCTCATTTTGTCTTTGGCAAGGCAGATCAAATGTGAAGGGCCGGGCTCTGGACAAACATTCCCTGCTTTCTTCTCCACTAAGACCATCCTTCCAAGCCCTTCCACACCGCGGCTCCCTCCAGGGGGAACCCTGAAACCAGCTGTCCCTAGAACCAGAGATACCACAGTTCCGCCAGGTAAGAAGTGCCTCCTATAAAGCATCAGCAGCTGGATGGTAAGTGCCGGGATACCCTAGTTGGTGGAATGCAACAAGGTAGCGAAAAAAAACACCACACGACCCCTAATTGAAGCGCCAATAATCCGTGACCTTTTTTCGCGCGCCGACTTTGCCGGAAGTGACGCCAGCACGCGGCGTGCGAAGCCGCCCCACGGAAGAGGGAGAGGGAGAGTGAGGGGGGCTAGGGGCGGGGCACGGTCGCGGCTCCGTTTCCGGTGGCTCGTCGCTCTCGCTCACTCCAGCTGCAGCCGCTTTTGCCCGTGGCTGCTTCCTCCATCCTGGTATTTTTTGGAGCCTCCATCCTGGTTCTTCCAAAGTGCCCGGACCCAAAACAGGAAGTAAGTGCGATGGAACCTTCAGGTCCCAACCGCCGCCAGGGCCGCTCCGCCCAGTGGAGCCTGCCCGGCCCCCCCGCCGTCTGCTTGCTCCCGCCGGCCAGCGCTAGCTGCCCGAGCCCGGGCACTGCGGGCGGGGTCGGAGCCGGGCCTTCATGATGCTGAAGCCAGTGTTCCCGCACGCTCGGGCCACAGCCTATCTCCCGGGGCCGGTCCGGTGGCGGCAGCGGCTCGGGCTGCAGAACAGGGGAGCCAGCGGCCGTCGAGACGCAGTAGCAATCCGGCGGGGGCGGAAAATGGCGGCGGCTTCGGAGGATCTAAATGGCGCCGAGACCCCTGGGGGGTGGGGTGGGCCTGGAGCGTCGACAGAAAATTGGGTCGGGGCTTGGGGAGAGTAAGCAAGCCTTTTTGCTTTTTCGTGGTGTTATATGTTTGTTACATTTTCTGATTTTATTGTGTGGTCCCGTCAAGAAGAGAGAGGCTTGGGTGGGGTTGAGGGAGTTGGGGCGGTTCTCCCTTCAACCCCCCCCCCCATCTTTTTGGGTTCATTCTTATAATTTATGGTCCAGACAGAGTGAATCGGGGGTAGTTGGCTGAACTGTCTCTGCGAAGTCTTTTTAAAGGAGGGAGATAGGCGGAGGTTCGGGGAGATTTCCCATCCAAGCAAAGAACAGTAAAATGTGTCTGCAAAGTGGTAATATGTCCTGTTTTGTAGCGTTCCGAGGAAGCAGTTGTGTTTCTAAATCTTAGTGTCTTTTATATTGGACTTTGTTTCGAAACTGTCTCCAGGGACTTAGCATGTTTTATCCCAATCGCCACACTGAAGTATTTGAGAGTGGAAGTGGCCAAGTGCCATTCTGTGCAGGTAAATGATAACGGCGTGTGGTTTTATAATAAAAACGTTCGCTTTAGATATGGAGAGGATGATGATTCTATGGAAGGTAAATCTAGAATCTCTCGCTTGTGTTAAAATGATTGAATTTGTGTGATTGCTTTTCTCATAAGGTGAGTCGTGTACTTCTTTTCTGACAGTAGTAGAGGCTACTCGAGACATCGACAAAATGCTTTTTCTATAAGATTATTTTCTAATATTTGCTGTTTTAGAAGATTAAAGTACCATTTAGGAATTTTTCTGTATTAATTGTACCTAATTCGTGGAAGGCAATAACAATTTGTAGCTTTTAAGCTTCAAAGTAAAAAAAGATTATTCCATTGTGTGTTGAAAAGTTTTTAAATATAAAATCCATTTTTCTTTTTCAGTTAAGGAATTTCTTATTTTCCCGTTACTTAAGATTCTTTCGAGCTCTTTTTAAATTTGTGTTCCAAATAACTTTTTGAGGATTTTTTTTTGGGGGGGGGGTTCTTGTTGGTGTTTTTTTATTTTTTCGTCTAGTAATTTGAGTAATTTACGAACACCTTAACATTTTAACGTTTAAAAATTCTGGATGTGGTGATAATGAACCAAAAACTTTAGCTTTATTTACTGTGATGGTGTGGAGTGGTAATATTTTGCTTATTTGGTTAAGATTTAGAAATCTTGTTAAGGTTTAGGAAAAAAGTTACATTCCTTAACATTAGAAAAATTGTCATGCTTTTTGAGAGAATAAAATTCGATATGAGAATAAAGTTTTGTTTCTCTATTCAGGGAAACAGAACAGCTTGATCCTGTCTTGTAGGGGGGCGTGAAGAAATACATTTCATGATTTGGGGTTATTTTAGCTCCCATATACTGGGTGCTTTGTCTACCATCAAACAAGCTAATATATTTTTTTACTATTTTAGTTGATAGGCTCACCCCTAAATATGCTTTTTGGGACTGATCTAGAACCTGCATATTCTGCGTGAATCTGTTTAATTGATTGCAGTTGAGCTAGATGGTGGAGCCAAAATGCTCTTGCCCTGTCTTCATCAACATTTAATCAGTAAGTACTGGGCATTGCATACTTACTTAGACCTTTATGTTCATATTTTAGCAGTTATATGAATAAGTATATACTATGTAAACATTTTCCTCTGAGTGTTCAGGTTTTAGAAGTGTTTTGAGGGGAAGCAATCACCGAAAAAAAAATTAAGGCATTATGATTTGAGCTTCTAAAACAGGAAGGCTGGGACGTAGTTGTTGGTAGAGAATCATATCAAAAGTTTGGAGGAAAAAAAAAAACATACTTGTTGCCATCAATTCAATTCCGACTCATAGCGACCCTATAGGAGAGAGTAGGACTGCCCCATAGTTTCCAAAGAATGGCTGGTGGATTCGAAATGCTAGCAGCCGTAGCTCGCAACCACTGCACCATGAGAGCTCCTTATATCAAAAGTAGGAAGTAGGTATCCTCTTTACTCTTTAGTTTTTCTTTTTGGGTTTTTTTTTTGTTTTTTTTTTTTAAGCTCCCCTCTTTTTACAAACAATTTCTTCTATTTGTTTTTTAATGTGAAGAGAGGTGGTTATCTCATACCACCCCAAGGGTGCTTTGACTGTTGGGGGGAAAAGTTCATTTGTAAGATTAGTTAGATGTAACTTAGTATTTAATCCTAATCCAAAAAACGTAAACTTGCTACACCTTCCCTACATAATCCTTATCTTTCTATTCGCTTCATCACCCTTCCATCTACACACCTTAATTTTTATTGATTTATAATAAACTTGTATGTCCAAAAAACATCTCATTATTTTGAATAGTTGCTTTTTATTATGCTGTTAAGTATATTGGTTTAAATTAACACCTGTGAGGATGGATAAGCTGATGTGAAATAAGTGTCCTAGGGATTTACAGCCTGACAGATACTAAAAATTGACGGGGCTGGGAAGTGTTTTTGAAAAGTACTGAGGTGCTAGAGCACTTGCATTAAACACACATTTCTATCTGATGAAAAGATAATCAAAACTTCAGAACAGCAGCAAAACTGAGGAGAGGGTTCCACTTTTTTATATCATATTTAGAGGCTGCCTGTTTAACCCTGACGTGTTAACCTCTTGTGTTCTCAAAATGAAGTTGTTTGCAGTTTTTTTTTAAAGTCAAATTTTCTCTTAATACCATCATTTTTAGCCCTCTCCCCCTCTTTTTTCCTGTAGTAAAGGCTTCCCTAGGCACTAGTACTCTTTTTAAATGGTTTGGATTTCAGCTCTAAAAGTCTTTTCTATCTCCAAATGATATAAAATGATCTGAGAAAGTGAATTTACTGCCTAATGTTAAATATACAGATGTCAAATCTGTCTGGTGTTTGTTTGCTTTCGTATCATTTCTCCCTTTGTTTTCATATTTTTCTTCTGTAAAAAAAATTCTTGTAAATCACAAATACAGCTTTTGCTTTGATTTCCCAAAGATGAATGAGGAAAGATAAAGATAGCCCATTGAACGACTGAACACGAGAAAGAAGTCATCAAGAAAAAGCACACTGGAGAGCCCTTTATGAATGATGATAATTTTTTTTTATGTTACCTCCTTTTGTTTTTGGTTATGGGCATTGTTGTCAAGCCATTTCCCCAAGCACCTATTGTTAAAAGCTAATTGTTTACTTATTGTTGGGTGTTATGCAGCAAAAGAAATACTCATCAGGTTTTCTCACTGCTGGTGTGTTTTAGTATCTGCTGAGGTAGTATGTTTTAAGAATCAACGTAAATCAGAGGAATTTAGTGGTAATTGATATTTCCGTGTAAAGAGCTTCTGATGGTGTCTTGTATAAAATGGTCATTTTTTGTTTTTGTTTTGCTTTGTTTTGTTTTTTTTTGATTGTGGTAACTATATAACAATCTTTGCCATGTCAACATTCTTTACTGTGTATAATTCAGCGACATTGTGTTCATTATGTTGTGCTCAGTTTCAAATGGATGAAATCTTAAAATGTAGCCAAATACACATTGTAAGCTTCTGAATCATGCACTGGGTGAAAAATAACTATTTGTTTTTTAATAAGCAGTATGATTTTATTGCCAGATCAGGTCACCTTAAAGTGAGCCATACTACCAAGCAATTGCACTTTAATTAAATAATGAAATTGTTTTCAGTAGTTGATAATTGACGTTAACATTTTAAGCAGTTAAAAGCTATTTCAGTAGACTCCATTAACCTCTTTATTGGTATTTTGTGATACACGGTCATATTTTACCATCTTCAGAAGCCATAATGAACATTAGGTATCTTAATGAGCACTAGATATCTTAATTCAGTATGCTCTGTGTTTATCTCTAGTTCTGCTTCTCAAACCTTTCCACAGAGTACAGAAGAGTAACTCCCCAGGGACCTGGGACCACAGTCCAGAACATCGTATCTCAAATATAAAGTGTTTACATTCCTATCTTGAATAAAATCAGTACTCTAGAAGATGTTATTTTTATTTTGTGGCTGTGTTTATTTTTTGACATCCTTCTGTGTACCCATGTTCAGCATATGGGAATTTGTTACCTGTTGTGTTCATCTAAGATTTTTTGTTTAGCAAAAAAAGTCTCATTTTTTTAAAATAAAAACATTGTACATCTTTGAAATTCCTTATTATAAATCATTAAGCAAATTCCCTCTTAAGCATTTCCAGAGCCGTTATATGCAATGATACGTATGGTGGTAGTCAGTACCAGTCCTTTTGATACGTAAGTGCAGAAAAGATCATTGAAGATGTAACAGTATGATCTCAATATTGTAAAAACGATAAAAGGTGTGTTGATACAAGGATAAAAGACTTGGAAGATAATCACAGAAAGGTTAAGAAAGAATATGGGTCATCTTGGTAATAGATCAGAAAAAGACATCTGAAAACTAAATGTGTTCTTACTGCCTTATGGAAGTATGCCAGAAACTTTTGCCTCTAAGCCAGTGTTTCTCGATCTGTAATTCACCTGATGAAATTGTGGTGCTGTGTGTTCTGTAGCTTATTTTATATTCTCATGGAAGTATCTTATAATACTGTTTTTTCTACCATGTAGTCTCATCTTCCAATTTAGAATCACAACTCTAAGCATCTAAGGATAACAACTGTTGGCTCCTGTGATTCTCATGATCTCCACTAATAGCATCTAGCCCTCTCCTCATACAGGTGCTGTGCCTGGGAACTGATAACAATTGATGGAATTAGCCCCAACAAGCTAGGAAGAAAGCTTTTAAGTTTTAAGCTTGCCACTTCTTTCCGTGGTTGGTTCTGTTTTTTTAGAAGGTGTTTGACACTTAATTGCCCAGATAATCAGGACAATTATGTAGACTCAGTTTGATGGATAAAAAATAATCAATTCAATAAAAACCTTACATCAATACTGGAATGGAGAGTAGGGCTAAGGACTCATTTCTGTAATTTATCTCAGTGTTAAGTAAGTTTTTCAGGGTTGTTTCTTCTACCCTTTCTTGTTCAGCTAGGTTATTGTGTGTTAAATAAGCTTATCTTGTTCTTGGGAGTTATAAATAAAAACAAAAATTTCTCATTTAAGTGTAAAGATGCATATATAAAACCAAAACCCACTTTGATCAGGTTGATTCTGACTCAGTGATCCTGTAGGCAGGGATGGGTTACTCAATAAGCAAGGTATGCACAGGCTTACTGATCTGTTGTGCACAATTTCTCCTGTTTTTCACCACCACCTCTCTAATGTGAAACCTATGTGAAATTGTGCACTGCAGGTTAGTAAGAACACAAGCCCGCGTGTACTTTGCTTACTGGTAAATCTGCCCCTGCCTGTAGGACAGTAGAACTGCCTCATAGGGTTTCCAAGGCCATAAGTTTTTGTTTGTTTGTTTGTTTGTTTTAATTGTTGTACTTTAAGTGAAAGTTTACAATTGAAGTTAGTCTCTCATACAAAAATTTATACTTACATTGTTGTATGACCCTAATTGCTTTCCCTGTACTGTGACAGCACACTCCTCCTTTCCACCCCGATCTCCGGTGTTCATTCAACCAGCTCCTGACCCTCTCTGCCTTCCCATCTCACCCCTGGACAGGAGCTGCCCATTTAGTCTCAAGTATCTACTTGAGCTAAGAAGCACACTCTTCGCGAGTATCATTTTATGTGACTGGACTAGGGTCCAGTCTAATCTTTGAAGAGGTGGCTTCGGGAATGGTTTTAGTTCTGGGTTGACAGAGTCTGGGGGCCACGCTTTCTGGGGTTCCTCCAGTCTCAGACCATTAAGTCTGGTCTTTTTACTAGAATTTGAGTTCTGCACCCCACTTTTCTCCTGCTCCATCAAGGACTATGTTGTATGCCCTGTCAGGGTAGTCATTGATGGTAGCCAGGCATCATCTAGTTCTTCTGGTCTCAGGCTGATGCAGTCTCTGGTTTATGTGGCCCTTTCTGTCTCTTGAACCATAAGTCTTAACAGAAGCAGACTGCCACATCTTTTTCCCAAGGAGTGGCTAGTTGGTTCAAACCACTGACTTTTCGGTTAGCAACCAAGCGCTTAACCACAGCACCACCCCTTAAAACTGTTGTCGTCGAGTTGATTCTGCCTCATAGTGACCCTATAGGACAGAGTAGAGCTGCCCCATAGGGTTCCCAAGGAGCACCTGGTGGATTTGAACTGCCAGCCTTTTGTTTAGCAGCCAGGCTCTTAACCACTGAGCCACCAGAGCTCCTTAAATATGAATACATAAACAAAAACCCATTACCATCGAGTCAGTTCCGATTCATAACGACCCTATAGGACTGAGTAGAATGGCCTCATAAGGTTTCCTAGGCTGTAATCTTTACAGAAGCAAACTGCCACATCCTCCTGCAGAGCCACTGGTGGGTTCAAACTGCCGACATTTGGGTTAGTAGCCGAACACTTAATCACTACACCACCAGGGTACACATATACCAAAAAAACCAAACCTATTGCCGTTGAGTTGATTCCAACTAATAGAGACCCTATAGGACAGGATGGAACTGCCCTATAGGGATTCCATGGATTCAAAATGCCAACCTTTTGGTTAGTAGCCATAGCTCTTATCCACTGTGCCACCAGGGTTCCAGGATGCCTATGTAGGAATTTATATATACAGCTGAACTGTGAGCCAGAATGTGGCAGGACTGCCTTATTTTCTGGGTCTCACAAGTTTTGCAGCTTTAACAGGGTAAAGTCTTAGCACTTTTCTGTTGCTTGTTTTAGTGGAAAATATTTGAGTTTTCCTTCTTAGACAGGTTACTGCCTTACACAGGTCCAGCTTTCACAGGTTTTACTGTAAATGTTTTGCACCACATTTCAGATTTTTGAATTTTTAAGGTGGTGTTTGTGGTTTAAGATATCCACCAAATGATGGAGATGTGCCAAAATTCCACTTTACTACTTAAAATGACTTAAGAATTTTTTACTTTTTCCTCTGTTACATCTCCTTGTTTGTAGTTAAGGTAAAAGTAGTATATTTGGTGTAAACCTGTTATAAAGAAAGAATATTGAAATGGGCTAATGGTATTTATTTGCCCCAAATGGGACCGAAGTGTTGGTAGAAATGGGGATCTTCCTGAAATTTTCCCTGGTAAACCAAATGAAGAGGGGGTCCAGAGGTTGTTAAGCATAGTTTCACGTATAATAAATTGGAATCAAACCAAAAAAAACAAACCTGTTGCTGGCAAGTCAATTCTGACTCATAGCGACCCTATAGGACAGAGTAGAACTGCGCCATAGGGTTTCCAAGGAGTGGCTGGTGGATTCAAACTGCCAGCCTTTTGGCTGGCAGCTGTAGCTCTTAACCACTGAGCCATCAGGGCTCCATTGAATTGGAATAGAGGCTCTAAATTACTCAACTTTATACCCTGCTGTCATAAGTTGGTTTATTCACCATAATTTCTCAGCTGCTCTGACAGTCACATACAAATGTGCTCTTCTAAATAATGGCTGTCTTGACCGCACTGTAGCTGGTATCCCCTGCCTTCAAAGTTAAACCTCACAAAAGAGGTGTCTGTAGTTTTTTATTCACTACTCCCCATTCTGTGTATTCCAGTAGGGCTTCTGTCCCCACTACACTGAAACTACTTTTGTCAAGGTCACCGTTGTTCTTCATATTGCCAGGTAGAATAGTCACTTCTCTAGTGGTTAAGAGCTTGGCTGCTAACCAAAAGGTCTGCAGTTCAAATCCACCAGCTATTCCTTGGAAACCTTATGGGGACAGTTCTACTTTGTCCTGTAGGGTCACTGTGAGTTGGAATCGAGTCAATGGTAACAAATTTTTTTTAAAGACTCCTTGAAAAAGGTCTTCTTTCACTGGCTGGTCATGTTTAGTTTCCTTTGCTTGATTGTCTGCTGCTTGACTTCCCGCTGGAACTGGAATATTAGGCTGCGTTCTGTAACCTCTCTGGTCTTAAACAAATTGACTAACTTCTGTAGGCCTGATGGGCTCCAGTTTGTATATACAACTACCGGCTTGGCATCTTCACTTGAATGGCTTATAAATACACCTAAGTGCCTCAAAACTCATTTGGCTGTTCAATCTCAAAGCATAGGAATCATCTTGCAATAACTCTCCTTTACTTAAGCTTCATCTTGTCAGCCTTACCTTCAAAATAATACCCTCTGTCCAGACTCCTCTTTCATTGCTGCCATCCATTCCAAACCACAATCATCTCTTGTCTTCCTAACTTGTTCCCTTGTTATCCACTCCCTATACTGGAGCCTTGGTGGCGCAGTGGTTAAGAGCTGCCATTATTAACCAAAAGGTCGGCAGTTCAAACACACCAGCTGCTCCTTGGAAACCCTATGGAGTACTTCTCCTCTGTCCTGTAGAGTCACGATGAGTTGGTATCGATTCCACAGCAGCAGGTTTCGTTTTTGGTTTTGGTATACTGCAGTCTGAGTGATCTTTTTAAAGTGTAATTTTTATTCCCCAGCTTAAAACCCTTCAGGATTTTCAAGGCCCTGTGGGATCTGCCCCTGTCTGTATCTCCAACCTCAGTTTCATCCACTCTCCCTCTTGCTCAAAAGCTTCTGCCATACTGACTGTAGTTTTTCCTTCCAGAACGCCATCAGGTCATACCTTAGGGACTTTGCTCTTACTAATCAAGTTGCTGGCTTGCAGTGGTGTGTCATTATCTTTGTGGATGAGGCAATGAAAGTAGCCATTAAGGTATATTTCAGCGTTTGTGGTATGATACTTATTTCTGTAAAAGGGGTATATGTAGTGGGGAGAGGTCTTTAGGTGTATTAACTTATATATATGCATAAAATAACTGGAGAGAAGCACAAGAAATTGGTAACATTATTTGCCTCCAAGGAGAGAAGTGGATGACTTGGGAACTAGAGTGGAAGACTTTTCACGGTATAATCTTTACCTTTCAAATTTAGAAGGCATGTCAGTATGTTGCCTATTAAAAATAAAAACCAGGTCAGCTTCTTAAATATTAATAAATACACTCATCATATAGCTCTAACTACAGGAGGAAAAAGTTGAGAGCATATATCTAAGGTGACAGGGTAAAAAAAAGCTATATTCACAGTGTGTAGGTAAGAGTGCCTGGCACATAGTACGTATGTGGTATGTATTTGTTGATTTAACAAATATGCTTTTTAATTGCAAAGCAGTATAGAACCATCTACTAATTTGTAACATGAGTTATAGAACTTTAAAAGATGATAAAGCAAAATTCCTCTCTTAAAATAGTACACAGCATGGAATTACCTCTAACCAATACAGGTTATCAAGAATGAAATGTTTTCTTTCATTTAGCTATTTCAGATCCTGTTTTCCTTGTACTATTAAATATTTCACAATAACTTCTCAAATCCACCTTTATTTTTTATTTTTCACAAAGTTTTAGATTAACTTGGCTCCTAAGTTGACATTCATTAAAATGGTAAACCAGTGACCATTTTTCACCTATAAAATAAACAGTTGTGCTGTTTTTTTGCTTTGAGGTTTCTTATTAAATGAAGAAACTGGCAAGGTATCAGGAGTAGACTTTATACCTCAGTGGTTGGGATATAAATTTGTAGAGCCTTTCTGGCATATAAATTGTAGTATGATTTTAAAGTTCTAAATTTTTTCATATCGTTTGAATAATTTTCACTTATTAATGTAGTTTAAGGAAATAGATTGTATAAAGATGTTTGTTGCAGTATAGGTTAAGGAAATAAAAAATTGGCAACAACATAAATGTCATTGATAGGGAAATTGTTAAATAATGTCACATTTTTTATGTAGTGTAAGTTTTAAATGATACCCATTGCAGTTGAATCCGACTCATAGCGACCCTATGGGAGAGAATAGAGGTGCCCTGTAGGGTTTCAAAGGAGCAGCTGGTGGATTCCAACTGCCTACCTTTTGGTTAGCAGCTGAGCTCTTAACCACTGTGCCACTAGTGCTTCAAGAATGATTAAATAGAGAGCATATTAAATGTCTAGTTTGGAGTCCTTCATACAGTAACTTTCTAACATAAATGAACCTAAAAAGCAGGGTATAAAAATTATATGTATCCTATAGTATCATATATGCACAGACTCCAAGAGGTAACGCTCAGAAGGAACGGCACCAAAGAGTTAATTATAGCCTCATTTTGGTGAGTTTATCAATTTTAATCCCTTTTTATTATTTTACAATTGGTTTTGCACATTTCTTTCCCCCATTTTTGCAGTATGGTGAAATCAGCTTTTTAAAACTCAGCTTTTAAATAAAGTCTAATGAATTCAGAAATGAGAACAGCTTCATGAAATTTAACAGCTGCCTGGATGTTTTCCTAGCAGGATGTATACCTTCTCCACTAGAAATTTATTTGTGGTAATTCTCAAACATAACCATCTTGGAGATAGAGCAGTTCTAATTAGAATGCTTCAAAAATGAGAATTTTGATCCTTCGTTTTTGCTAAAATACCACCCTTAAACCTCAAATCCTACTTTTTTAAAAAAGTTTTTTGTTTGCTCTTTAGGATGAAGAAGCCTACTGTAAGAAACCTTTAGAAATCAATCATTTTATATTTTGTATGGTCTCATATTGCATTTAAGAGTTTACTTGTAATTTACATTTTTCTAGCCCAGTTATTTAAAGATTCTCCCCCCCAACACACAACACAGATCCCTACATGGGGTTCACTTATCATCTTAAAATGTTTTCTGAATGGATAGATATCATATGAATTTTAATGCTTTAAAATGAAATTGGGTATATATAAGCAGGTGTTAAAAATAAATTATTATAAAGAAAAATATAGTTTCTAATAATATGTATGGAACTGTATTGTTTGGGTCATGCTACATATTGGTACCAAGGTCTGTAGTTCATAGAACCACTAGCACATTTGAATATGATTATTTTTTCCAGAGACTGTTTAACTGCCTGATGAGAGACAACTTGCATTGAAAAACTGCCTGTAAACTTACTTAGTAGGTATAGCACCTCATCATTTCTGCCCTTCATTGGGGAATATTTCTAGAAGCTGATTCCTTAAAAGTCTACTTAAAGAATTCTGGTTTTATCATTCTTCTAGTTGAGACGGCACAGAGGCTTAAGGCTAGAGTATCATCAGTGTACTGCTAGCACGTAGTTGTTTTCACTAAACCTAATTGTGTAATGCTGTTACTTTTTCAGAGTGTTGCAGAGGTGGAAACATGGGGGTGAAACAATCTGGATAACATGAAAGTGATGCTGGTGGCTAAGGGCAGGCGACTTGATTCCGTGGGAAGGGCTGTAGCTGATCCATCCATTGTCCAGGTAAGCCTGCCTTTGTTCCAGTGGCCTCACCTCATAAATTTGCAAATTTTAGTCATAAGTGAATCATGATTTCTATTTATCTTTCGTTTGGGAATGGCATCATTACCAATGTAACATGAATGATGTATTTTTAAAATAATAATTTATATAGTAAAACTTTAATAAATTACCAGATTTTTGCCAAAGAAAAATGCAGTTGCCTAATTGGTAAATAAATAAATGGACTAATATCTTGTGTATACCTGTAAAAAAGCATTTTGGAAAAATGATTCTTAGGTCAAGGTGAAAGTTTTGATGAGTCTTCTGCTAAAGAATCACAGATTAAACACCTATTTGAATATTATCACAATGCTGCCAGTAAAAAAATAACGAAAAAAGTGGTGAGAGTTTTTCTGAATATGACAAATAGCTTAGAACTTCTTTCATTGGATGTGATGAAACAAGTCTTTTTAAAAAGTAAATGCTGTAGATTTTTAAATATTCATAATGGTCAGAGTCTTGCAGATTATTACATTTAAGTAATGGGTATAAACTTTTGGAATATGAACTGTCATTGCAATTTGGCATAAAGAACACTATAGGCAGATACCCAGACAAAATTTTTGTTGTTGTTATGTTTGTTTGTTTGTTTGTTTGGAGGCAGGCAGGAGACTGTTTTGTGTTTCTGTCTGGAAATGACTTTTTAAATGCTAATGTGGAGCCTATTATTGTACAGGTTTGAGTATGAGCACAGTTGAAGAGGATTCTGACACAGTGACAGTTGAAACTGTGAACTCTGTGACTTTGACTCAGGACACAGAAGGAAATCTCATTCTTCATTGCCCTCAGAATGGTAGGAGAAATTGCTGAAATATAATTAAGAATCTTTGGATTTCTGAATTCCATGTCACTTATGATTCCTGTTATCCAGATAGACAGTTAGGCTAATAGAGTACAAAGAGAGGGTTATGTCATTGAATCGTGATTTTTTTAATTAATTTTGTGTTTCTTTATATCTTTAAATTTACCATAAATTTTAGCCGTTATCTGTCTCATAGCTATTTTATAAATAGAATCTGTTGAGCCTCCAGAGATGATGGTGGAAAAAGTATAATATACTTAATCTTTTATACTGTTTGGTGCTAGCAGTTTATTTAGTACATTAGAAAATGTATAAGTAGTCCTGCCAATAGAAATAGGAAACTTTTTTTTTCATTGTTGGAACTTGTGTTAGAGAATTTTATATAAGTATTTGAACAGGCTTTAATGTGATCACCTGTAATGAATTGAGATTCAGCAGCCTTGAAGCTTTCTTGTTACTTCTCTACCTGCTCCTTATTTTATTTATTTAACATTTAAGTTCATCTTTATTCATCATAGATTCTGTCTTCTGCTCTGTGGGTTATTTCATGCAAACTTGTGCCTATATTAAAATGACTCAAACGTCTCTCTTTATTCTGAATTCTCTGCACTTCTCATAAAACCAACCAAACCAAACCATTGCCATCAAGTTGATTCCGACTCATAGTGACCCTACAGGACAGAGTAGAACTGCCCCACGGGGTTTGCAAGCAGCACCTGCTGGATTCGAACTGCCAACCTTTTGGTTAGCAGCTGAACTCTTAACCGCTACACCACCAGGATTTCTGTGCTTCTCACAGGCACCTTAAATTTAACGTATCCCAAACTGAATTCTTGTTTCAAACACTTCCCAAACCTAGTTCTCTTTTCTTTTCCTTTCTCAGTCAGCTTCATTACATAGTATCCCACATCATAAACATAAGTAAAAATAAATTCCTTCTTTCATTTTCATGTCCATTCTATCATGAAGTCTTGTTGATAGTATTATTTCTGGAATTCTTCTCTGTCCCAAGTCACTCAAGATCAGATTCTCAGTTCTTACCTTGGTAGCTCTAATACCCTTTTGACCATCCTCCCATTTCTAATTCATCTTTCAAACCACTGGTAGAATTGGTCATGATAACTCAGTGGCACAAAAAAGGTTTTTTAAAGCCTTCCATGTTTTAGAATATAGGTTAATTAGGTTCTTTAATTTGACACATAGGCCTCCCATCATCTCAGCTTTTCTTCAGCCTTACCTCCTAAGACTTCCACATACCTATGTTCTAGCAGTTCAGAAACTTTTTATTTTTCTAACATAACTCAAGGATTTCATACCTCAATGTTGTTTGTTCTTGTGCGCCATCAAGTCGATTCTGAATTCATAGCGACCCTATATGACAGAGTATAACTGTCCCATAGGGTTTCCTAGGCTGTCAAGGATTTCATTTTACTTGGATCCACAATCAATGTCTGTGAAAGCAGCAGTCAAAAATCAAATGACGTATTGCATTGGGCAAATCTGCCGCAAAAGACCTCTTTAAAGTGTTAAAAAGCAAAAATGTCACCTTGAGGACTAAGGTGCGCCTGACCCAAGCCATGGTATTTTCGGTTGCCTCATATGCATGGGAAAGCTGGACTGAATAAGGAAGACCAAAGAAGAGTTGATGCATTTGAATTATGGTGTTGGTGAAGAATATTAAACATAACCATGGACTGCCAGAAGAACAAACAAATACGTCTTGGAAGAAGTATAGCCAGAATGCTCCTTAGAAGCGAGGATGGTGAGACTTTGTACTTTGGACATGTCATCAAGAGGAACTAGTCCCTTGGAGAAGGACATCATGCTTGGTAAAGTAGAGGTTCAGCGAAAAAGAGGAAGACCCTCAATGAGATGGATTGACGTAGTGGTTGCAACAATGGGCTCAAACATAGCAGCGATTGTGAGGATGGTGCAGGACCAGGCAGTTTTTCATTCTGTTGTACATTGGGTTGCTATGAGCTGGAACCAACTGGACGGCACCTAACAACAGCAACAGCAGTCTTTACGGGAGCAGATAGCCAGGTCTTTTCTCCTGTGGAGTCGCTGGTGGGTTCAAACTGCCTACCTTTCAGTAGCAGCTGAATGCTTAACCATTGCGCCACCAGGGCTCCTTTCACATCTCAATGCCATTGCCCATATTACTTCAACTGCCAGAAATAATCATTTTCCCCTGGCTTCTGTTTTCTCTTTTAAGTTCAGGATACCTCCTCCAGAAAACCTTCTCTCACCTTCTAGCTTAAATTAAACACTTCTTTTTCGTGCTTCCATAACAGCCTTTTCTTTCTACTTTCCTAGCTTTTATTGCAGTACTTGGAAATTGTTAGTTTAGACATCTCCTCTGCTACACTTTGGGCTCCTTGAAAGTCAAGACATCTTTCATTGTCGTGTCCTCAGCCCTTAGCACATAGTAGGTACTCAGTAAATGTAGATGAATCAACAATCTATGTATTAAAATAACAAGCCCCTGTCTTTACATGTGAAGTATATGGAAAGCCAGATAGTTAACAGCATAAAAGTGTGATGCCTCAAAAGGTGGCACCTTTGTTCATAGTTCATGGTCCTAAGAATAGGAGCTGAGGTACTACTGCACTAGACAAAGAGAAGGCAGTATCTTTTTGAATCCTTGTTGCACAAATGGGATTAGTGAACTGAGCAAATTGATAAGAAGATTGTTCTAGAGTCATTACTAGTTGGAGATTTTAGTTTTTTCCTAATTGGTGTAAAGTTTTTGAGATTTTTGTTTGGTGTTGTGTTTTGTTTTGTTTTCATTAGAAGCTGATGAAATAGACTCAGAAGATAGTACTGAACCTCCGCATAAAAGGCTTTGTTTGTCCTCTGAGGATGATCAGAGTATTGATGATTCTACTCCTTGCATATCAGTTGTTGCACTTCCACGTAAGTCACTGTTGTCTTAAGAATATAGAGTTATCTTTTGAGATTGAATTATAACTTGCGAGAGACTCAATTGAATCTAAGAGTTGGCATTTCTAGGTAGGCTTGGACCAATGATTTTTCTCAGCTCTGAATACTTTTATACAGTGCCTAATTCAATTTTCGCAATAATTCTATTAAGCAGTGTTTCTCAACCTTTTTAAAATTATTACTTCCCAGGAGCCATTTGTAGACTTTTTCTTATCACTTCCGCCCAGCCCCTGCCAGTGAAATTTTAATACCACAGATAATACTGTATTATTTTTATGTGTCCCATAATCTAAACTCATTGCCATCAAGTCAATTTCGACTCTTAGTGACCCTATAGGACAGAGTAGAACTGCCTCATGGGTTTCCAAGTCTATAAATCTTTACAGGAGCAGACTGCCACATCTTTCTCTTGCGAAGCAGCTGGTAGGTTCAAACTGCCAACCTTTTGGTTAGCAGCCAAGCGCTTAACCACCGTGCCACCTTTGTTCATAAAGAGAGTAAGACTTTTTCACTTACTCCACAAGAACCAGTTTTCACATTCTTTCAGAAAGCATTCTCTAGGGTAGGTATTATTATTATTATCCCTGTTTTATAGATAGGAAACGGAGGCACAGAGTTACAATGTTGTTGTTGTTTGTTAGGTGCTGTCCAGTTGATTCCGACTCATAGCAACCCATTGTGACCAAGTAGAACTGCACCTTAGGGTTTCCTAGGCTATAATCTTTGCAGAAGCAGATCACTAGGTTTTTTTCCTGAGGAGCTGCTGGGTGAGTTCATACAGCCAACCTTTCAGTTAGCAGCTGAGTGCTTAACTGTTGCACCAGCAGGGTTCCTTGAGATATATAATAAGTTGTCTAAAATCATGCCCAAGCAGTCTGGTTCCCGTAGTTTCCCATAGTTCATACTGTTAACACCAATACTGTTCTGCCTTTTCACATGATACAGTCTTTATGAAAGTTGGAGAGAAGCCTAATTAGTTTAGTCTCAGTAAGAAAGTTCTTAACATGTTTATATTCCAAGGTTATTTAGAGTAGACTAGGTTCTAGAGGTGTAGTATTTCAGGTGGAATACCATTGGAGAAAGTATACAAACACACTGACTGTGAGGTTAGATTACATTTCTGATTGCATCTCTCAAAGGATATGGAATCTTGTTGAAGTGTGGTGACCTCACAAAGCTGCAGCAGATGTCATAGTTCATGGTGGTGGAGGTGAGGAACATGGCTCTTGGTGGCATTGTCAGTGTAAAGGATTCTTGCCATATCTGGGAACTTTGATTTTGCACTCGGCATCAAGCACAATCACACCTTTATCCACTGGGAGAGAGAAAAAAACTCAGTTTTCAGTATAAGAAATCGTGTCTTCACAAGTAGATAATGTACTTTGTATTTAGAGTTAATTACTAAATTGGACAGTAAGAAACGATTTTACATCAATTTACTATGAGACTTTTATGAAAAGCAGTACTAGTATTCATATTGCTTCCACTGTGGTATATACAAGCATAACGTATTTCTAATTAAATGATATTTTTCCTCCTAATGACGATTCATATGTTTTTTAGAACTCTTTCCTAATTTGACCGTTGTTATGCTGTGATTCAGTTTTCAGACTGGATTGACCTGTCTGCAGAGATGGAATCCTATATGAACATTTTCTAAGCTGGAATTTTTTTTTTTTTTAAATTGTACTTCATTTGAAAGTTTACAGAGCAAATAGTTTCTCATGAAACAGTAATACACATATTGTTTTATGACATTGGTTAACAACCCCATGACATGTCAACCCTCTCCCTTCTCGACCTTTTTTTT